TTAATGGAAAATTAAATAGGGTCTAGTGTTTACTATAATTTAGATTTCGTCTAATTGTTTTTCAGACTCAATAACTTCTTTTTGTTAGAAAGTTTTAATCGAACAATGGGTTTAAGAAAATGATCAAAGAGTTAGAAATATTTTAAAAAATTAAGGCTTGATAAGCATGTAAATGTAGATTTTGTAGAAAGATTGGTCGACTTAGCATCATAGAATTGCAAAGAATATGCAGGAGATGTTGAGAAGAATTGATGAATTGTAAGAATAAATTTCTCATGAAGCTAATCTTAATAAGCGAGACATATATCTGTAAGAACTTGATGAGGCAACGAAGCAATTAGATTAATAAATTGAAAATATCAGTGAAATGGGTTAATAGCTTAGACTGATAACTGATTTTGTAAATCATATTCGAAAAGGTTTAATCAGACTTGAGGGAAAAATTAATTAAATGAAAGAATAACTCAAAAGTATTGGAAATGATGTTAAATTTTTGAGAGGAAAATCTGTTGAATAATTATTTGAAATTAGAAAATGGAAGGTATTGAAAGAGGCTGCACTTAAGAATGCTAAATCTATTTATGTATCATTAGAAACCAAAGTGATATATCAACTGAATTAAGAAGAAGGACACAAGAAAGGATAGGAATAAGTAAATAAAAAAGAATAAGATGAAGGAAATAAGGAGGGAGAGGAAGAAGGAAATAAGGTTGAGGAAGGATAGGAAGAAGGAAAATAGGAAGTGTAAGAAGAAGGAAATGAGAAAAAATAAGATGAAGGAAATGAGAAAGGATAAGAAGAAGGAGAGGATGGGATAAAGAATGAAGAAAAGAAGAGTATTTTGATCAATTTGGATAATATATATGATAAACAAGGAGAATTGAATGAATTTTTATTTGATGAGTAAAAAACAGTATTATTAATTCATGGGGTAGCTGGATCTGGCAAAAGTACAGCAGCTAAGAAAATAGAGGAATTTATTTGGATATTACATAACAATAACAAAAGAATTAGAAATCAGATTCTCATACCTGTTTATATCTCCTTGCCCTCGTTAAAAAACCCTATTTTTTCATCAGTAGAGGAGGCACTTCATTAGGATGAGTATGGCTTTGACGAACTTTAACTAAGAGAATGCAAAGAGATGTTAGAAAAGAAAGAATTCAGATTGTTATTGATAATGGATAGCTATGATGAAATGAAACTAGAGAATATTTAAAAAAATTTATATATGAATAATAAAGTCAAATAGAATTGGTCAGACCCACTTGTTATTTTTACCACAAGAAGCGAAATTTTTACAAGTAGTAATTATGTCTATTGGTTTGCACCTGATAAAGTGGAAAATTTAAAGGAAATTCAGCTTTAAAAATTTAATTCTGATTAAATAATGGAATACTTAAAAAAATTCACAATTTAAAGTGTTAAAATGTTGATTTTTGAAATATTTGAATGGCAAACATAAATTTCAAATTAAGGAGGATTGGATATCAATAATTTTGAAAAGAGTTGGGATAAATTGAAGGAATTATGTTTGAGCATAACAAATTTCAATGGTGAAACCCTTTTGAATTAAAAATAAATAGAGAACATTTTATCATTTTTGAAGAATAATGAATTCTTTACTTTAAAAAGAAATGAAGCTTTAAGAAGTGTAATGATTAAATTATAAAAACTGTGGAGTGTTGAAAAGTATGAAAAGATGATGTAGCAAATAAATTTATATAGATTGATAGAAACTCCATATATGATGGAAATAATAGTTTAAGTGTTGCCTAAAATGATGGTGAAAGCTTCTGATATCATTAATTTAAGATAAAATTTTCTAAAAAATTTCCCAATCATGCTTTATGAGTTTTATAAAAGTAACTATCTGAATAGAATGTTTAAATAGCAATAGAAAATGTATATAAAATATGATAAGAATTAAAAGGAATAAAAGGATAATATTGAAAAAGGAATAATAGGATAATAATGAAGAAGATTAACAGGATAATAATAAAGAAGAATTACATGAGAATAATGAAGTAGAATTATAGGATAATAATGAAGAAAATTTACATGAAAATA